TTCGGTGGTCAAGGATGTAGATGGTCGTGATCACTAATGCTGTGTTAATACTCGTGGTTATTAAACTTGTGGTGGTGTCTAATCTTCCATAAAAAGAAAGAAAAGAAGTATGTCCGTCGGTCTGTCCGTTTCCACCAAACACAGTGTAGATTGGATGCTGATGACGTCACACATCTTCGCGCGTTTTTCAAGATCGTGTGTGTGTGTGTCGAGTCAATGATCTACCGCCCTTGTCTTTGTATATAAGCCATCGACTTGTTTTGTTCCCTGCTTTACCATCACTTCAGACGACCCTAATGTAAGCCCGTTGTTTATACAGGTCACTTGGCTAAAAAAAAATTGTCTCTGCATTATGCCAATTCCACCAATAAAATATTAAGTCCTGCTGATTAATAACACTGGGAAACGTAATCTTCACACCTACTATACTTTCCTTGTAATAACACTCCATTAATAACACCTGTACTACACATATCGGAAGCCCAACCATAAACATATATTAAGTTTATAATGATTTATATATTCATTGTATCACTCAGGGTATATATATTGCAGTATATTTATTGCAGAGCACTATGTCGGGTGGGGGGGAGACGCCAGGCAGTTTCAGTGTCGTAAATCCAATGTTTTGTTTTGCTTTAGGAGGGATGGAAGCGTATGCATATTACCGCTTGTAACTTGCGTCTTTGTTGAATATATCTCCCTGGTCAATATGTCCTGTGAATCAATATAATATGTGGCTTTCTGGGGTGTACGAGTATTGGTAATCGCTCTGTTGGGTCCGATAAACATGACTGTCACCTGCGTACGTTTATGTGATTACCGTCCATCTTCGGCTGACAACATCACTTCCGGTATTCCATTCTGGTGCAGAAGCAGAAAACTGGATGCGTTCTGTTATGTGGGAAGGACTCATGACGCTTTATGTTGTGTGGGAAGGACTCATGACGCGTTCTGTTGTGTGGGAAGGACTCCTGACGCGTTATGTTGTGTGGGAAGGACTCATGACGCGTTATGTTGTGTGGGAAGGACTCATGACATGTTCTGTTGTGTGGGAAGGACTCAAGAATTGTGAGAGGGAGTGTGAGTGTTGGCTGATGAATCCATGAGTTGAGGGAGTATTGACTCTTGACCAATGTTGCTAGGAACTTCGGATGAACCTGTGATTTGCGAAGTTATTAACACGGGAAGAATAAACCTAAGAAAGGGAGGAAGGGGAAGAAGAGAATGGAATAATAAGGCAGAGACAAACATAAAGCGGATAGACAATACAGATGTGGAAATAGACAAGCCACACACACACACACACACACACACACACACACACACGACAGGAAACCAATCTTTGCACCACACAAATAGGGCAGGTGACCAAACTCTCCACCACACCAACACGACAAGTAACCAATCTCTTCACCACACAAACACGGCAGATATCAAACATCTCCACACAAACCCCTTCACCCACCATAAAACGACACACTTCACCAACAACGCGTCACGACATCTCACTCCACACCAGGCTGGGCGCGGCGCACCACCTACCTCGACACTACTTGTCTTAGAGCTCATTACCTCCCCAGGGTACCGGTAACACCCAGCAGCCGCCACACACTAACACCGTGGTGCCTGAGGTTAGGTGTGTGTGTGTGTGTGTGTGGAGACCGAGACCTATAACGAAATACACAATGAACGAAGAGCATTACGAGACACACAAGAAAGGAGTTCGTAATAATCGTGACCAAGTACCTGTGCTGAGGAACATGTGGTAAAGTACCGTATTCATGCTATAATCCCCAGCTGCTGCTCTGGAGATTTATCTGTTCTGAAATACATGTGGTAAAGTACCGTATTCATGCTATAATCTCCAACTGCTGCTCAGGAGGTTTCCGTGGGAATCTTAAGGTAAACATTTTGTGATTTTTTTCCCCCAGGATGGACATGACATTAACGTGAGAGTTTGATGATTTTGAAAGATAGTTTTTAAGGCAGGTATTTTTTTTATTATTACTTCAGTCCATTACCAAAGTTTGTTTCCGGATTTTTGCGAAACTGTTAAAGATATATTGTATTAACTTTATGTAAAGGAAAGCCAAAAACTGTGTGAAGTAATTTTTCTTAAGACTAATGTTATTCATCCTTGGATAAAAAAGACAGGCCAGCTGAAGGTCATTACTGTTGATTAAACTGTACATCCTTAAAAGACTAAAACATTAAACCACACATCCATAAGACTAAAACATTAAACCACACATCCATAAAAGACTAAATCATTAAATCACACATCCATAAATGACTAAAACCTTAAACCACACATCCATAAGACTAAAACATTAAACCACACATCCATAAAAGACTAAAACATTAAATCACACATCCATAAGACTAAAACATTAAACCACACATCCATAAAAGACTAAAACATTAAATCACACATCCATAAGACTAAAACATTAAACCACACATCCATAAAAGACTAAAACATTAAATCACACATCCATAAGACTAAAACATTAAACCACACATCCATAAAAGACTAAAACATTAAACCACACATCCATAAGACTAAAACATTAAACCACACATCCATAAAAGACTAAAACATTAAATCACACATCCATAAGACTAAAACATTAAACCACACATCCATAAAAGACTAAAACATTAAATCACACATCCATAAGACTAAAACATTAAACCACACATCCATAAAAGACTAAAACATTAAACCACACATCCATAAGACTAAAACATTAAACCACACATCCATAAAAGACTAAAACATTAAACCACACATCCATAAGACTAAAACATTAAACCACACATCCATATAAGAGACTAAAACATTAAACCACACACATCCATAAAAGACTAAAACATATTAAACCACACATCCATAAAAAGACTAAAACATTAAACCACACATCCATAAAGACTGTAAAACATAAACCACGATCCATAAAAGACTAAAACATTAAACCACACATCCATAAGACTAAACACATTAAAACCACACATCCATAAGACATTCAAAACATTAAAACCACACATCCATAAGACTAAAACATTAAACCACACATCCATAAAAGACTAAAACATTAAACCACACATCCATAAAGACTAAAACATTAAACCACACATCCATAAAAGACTAAAACATTAAACCACACATCCATAAAAGACTAAAACATTAAACCACACATCCATAAGACTAAAACATTAAACCACACATCCATAAAAAGACTAAAACATTAAAACCACACATCCATAAAAGACTAAAACATTAAATCCAATACATCCATAAAAAGACTAAAACATTAAACCACACATCCATAAAAGACTAAAACATTAAAACCACACATCCACATAAGACTAAAACATAAAACCACACATCCTTAAAAAGACTAAAACATTAAACCACACATCCATAAAAGACTAAAACATTAAATCACACATCCATAAGACTAAAACATTAAACCACACATCCATAAAAGACTAAAACATTAAACCACACATCCATAAGACTAAAACATTAAACCACACATCCATAAAAGACTAAAACATTAAACCACACATCCATAACACATCCATAAGACTAAAACATTAAACCACACATCCATAAAAGACTAAAACATTAAACCACACATCCATAAGACTAAAACATTAAACCACACATCCATAAAAGACTAAAACATTAAACCACACATCCATAAAAGACTAAAACATTAAACCACACATCCTTAAAAAAACTAAAACATTAAACCACACATCCATAAAAGACTAAAACATTAAACCACAGTCAAATAATTACCTGAATTACAACCCAATGGCACAATAGCGAAAGACACAAACTAACAAATAAACAGAGACACAGACAGGTAGATCGATACAGACAGACAGACAGACAGGTAGATCGATACAGACAGACACACAGACAGGTAGATCGATACAGACAGACAGACAGGTAGATCGATACAGACAGACAGACAGGTAGATCGATACAGACAGACAGACAGACAAACAGACAGGTAGATCGATACAGACAGACAGACAGACAGGTAGATCAATACAGACAGACAGACAGGTAGATACAGATACAGACAGACAGGTAGATCGATACAGACAGACACACAGACAGGTAGATCGATACAGACAGACAGACAGGTAGATCGATACAGACAGACAGACAGGTAGATCGATACAGACAGACAGACAGACAAACAGACAGGTAGATCGATACAGACAGACAGACAGACAGACAGAAAAAGAGGTAAACAGGCGGCACACGTCACCCTCGGCACAAGTAATACATCTGGGGGATTTACATGACGGATCTGCAGAGTACCGTAAGGTCCTGACCCATCCACCGTCAGGAAGATCACGTGTACTACTGCTGCTGCTGCTGCTCCACCCTTGACCACAACTGTGTCCCGCCTGGGGGTAGCGGAAGGGAGGGAGGGAGGGAAGAGAAGGGAGGAAGGGAAGAGAATGGAGGAAGGGAGAGTGGGAGAAAGAAGGAAGGAGAATTGGTAAGAGAGAGGGGGAACGGAGGAAGAGGGGGAGGGAGGAAAGTTAGTCGGTAAATATGCGAAGGGTGGATGAGGGAAGGGAGAAGGGGAAAATATAAGAGAAACTATCGAGAAAAGGATGAAAAGTAAAGAGAAACGAGAGGAAAAGATAAAACGAAAGCAATTTTTTTCAAAATAAATTCTCTGAATCAATACAGTATAATTGATGCCGGTGTAATATCTATTATGTACAGTCACAGATTTGAAAAAACACACACACACACACAAACACACACACACACACACACACACACACACACACACACACGCACACACACACACGCACACACACACACGAGTAAAACAACTAACTTCTTCAGGTAATTAATTGGATTACCATTATTTACTTTCAGAGTTCATCATCGTGCAGCAGCCAGCTACACTGTACAACAAACGGTACGTCTGAGCCCCTGAGTGTTCACTTGTTGCTTAGCGAGTAGAGGCTTACAATACTGGTGGTGCTGTGTGGTGAACTAGTGTGTGACAGCACCGCAGTTATCCCAGTCTGCTTTTGCTTACGCTTCTTGGGTTAGTGTCTTCCTGAAGGTGTGAGAATGAGGGGAGGTGTGTGCGTGGTGGTGGTGTTGGTAGTGTCGGTGGTAGCTGACAGTGACCAGGACCAGCTGGGACCCACACGCCGCAGCAATATCCAGGAGTCCTTGCCTGATGTCTTCCCTCAACCTACCAAAGACACCTTACCCCAAGCTAGAGGTTTTCCCTACAAGTTCGAGGAGATCGCCGTGGCAGCCCAAAAGAACACTGAGATAGAGATAGGGTCACCATACACCATCATGAAGAAGCAGCTGGAGGCCCCAGAGCACCACCACCTACAGGATGTGTCTCTCTTAACACCTTACTCACCAGCCCGGGATGACGACACTCGCCAACAACTCAGGTGGGTCCTGTACTCTCTCTACCTGTTGGTTCATCTCAAATATTTTGAGAACTGACTTAACTAACACTGGTTATAGGTTCAGATACATTCAGGAGCCAGTGCATGCCTAGTACTTACCAACAGTACGTAACAGCGACGTGACTGACCGCCGAAGCAGCTAACAGGCCGATCAGGGGGCAAAGAGAATAAAGTAAAGTATATAAGATAATCATATTTTTACTGAGACTGGATGAAGCCCAAGAGAGTTACTCTAAATTAAAGTATAATCTTGTTTTGGTCAATAGATCACGAAGAGTTTATAAGTTAAGATTATAAGTGAATGTGAAATGATTCATCCATTCACTATTGCTTCTCTTCCATCTACTTAGTTCCATCAAAAACACAACACGTCATTTAGGGACCAGCTGCCAGAACGACTGGTGACAGTTTCCAGAGTTTATATATTTGTCTAATCAAACATATTTTACATTTATTTGGATAGCCATTACTGTGCTTTATTAGTGTAGTATAAGACAGTGTGTGTGTGTGTGTGTGTGTGTGTGTGTGTGTGTGTGTGTGTGTGTGTGTGTGTGCTTCAGTCATCTTAACTCTTGTTATAATTCATGATGTCAAGAATGCACACAACTACATCAGGTTTGTTCATCAGACCACAGGCACCAGTACCGCGGCCCCCACGACCCTCCCTCACCACCAGGGAGATGAACTTCATAGGCATCTTGGCGGCCATCGCGCTGAAGCTGGCGCTGTCGACGGCCCTGGCCACCTGGTTCCTGGCGGCGGGTCAGGTGCTGTACGCTTTGGCCACCCTCACAGGGAGTACAGGTGTCTTCGGGATGGACTCCGCCATTGGCTACATCTACAAGACCCTCCCCTTTATTGAGGTCCTCCTGAGAGGGGAGACCACGTTTTTTTAAGACTATAGCAGTCAGGTACTGCTGAAGGGGTCCGGCTCGGCTGAGGTGGTCTGGCTTGGCTGAGGTGATCTGGCTCAGCTGAGGTGGTCCGGCTTGGCTGAGGTGATCTGGCTCAGCTGAGGTGGTATGGACCAAAGTGTTGTGGATGTAAACACGTAATCACTACTACGTCGTGGATAAACTTTTAGGGCATTAAAAAAATCTTCATATTGTCTCCTTTTGTGTGTGAGTGTGTACGTAGTTCGTCGTAACAGCTTCATGAGGAACTATATGCACACGGAAAACAAACGACTCGGTTATAGTGTCGTGTGTTGACAAATTCACCATCATCAACAGGGAGCTCCTCGGTGATCCCTACGTCAGATCTTCCCCCAGCAGGAGAATGTAGTAACACTTGTAAATAACACCCCCAGGCAAACAACTAAAATGGCGCTAAATTAGTTGTAATACTCTACCTTGACGAGCACTCTTACCCCCGGCTGTGATGATACGAGTCTCTCTGTGACCACCCGCATGACCAACAGTGACAGACCAACGGTGAAACAATGACAGTAGCAGTAACAAATATAATAACAATTACGTTGACAATAAGACAGAGACAACAATTGACAGTGAAAGTGAGAACGACAGTGACAGCAACTGACATTAACAACGACGGTGACGATGACAACAACAGTGATTATGACAAATACTGACAATGACAACAACGGTGACAATGACAACAACAGTGACTATGACAAATACTGACAATGACAACAACGGTGACAATGACAACAACAGTGCAAATGACAAATACTGACAATGACAACAACGGTGACAATGACAACAACAGTGAAAATGACAAATACTGACAATGACAACAACGGTGACAATGACAACAACAGTGACTATGACAAATACTGACAATGACAACAACGGTGACAATGACAACAACAGTGACTATGACAAATACTGACAATGACAACAACGGTGACAATGACAACAACAGTGACTATGACAAATACTGACAATGACAACAACGGTGACAATGACAACAACAATGATTTTAACAAATACTGACAATGACAACAACGGTGACAATGACAACAGTGAAAAAATGACACAAATTATTCCATCGTCAACACCCCTCAGGCACGGCTCTTTATGCGACACTTACGTGAGGAGTATAACAGGTTGATGGTGTGGGAATTAGGTAAGAGGTGACAATGTGTGGGGTAGAAGATGACGTGGAAGGAGTATAACAGGTGATGTGGGGAAAGATAGAGGGAGAGCAGGGGTGGGGTAGAAGAATGGTAGGGAGGGATAACAGGTGATGGTGTAGGAGAGACAGGTAGGGAGGGAGGTAGAGCAGGTGATGGTGTGGGGTAGAAGATGACGGTAGGGAGGGAGTAGGCAGGTGATGGTGTGGGGGTAGAGAAGATGTGGTAGGAGGGAATATAACAGGTGATGGTGTGGGGTAGAGAAGATGACAGTAGGGAGGAGTAGAGCAGGTGATGGTGTGGGGTAGAAGATATTATGGGGAGGGAGTAGAGCAGGTGATGGTGTGGGGTAGAGAAGATGACGGTAGGAGGGAGGGGGGTAGAGAAGATGACGGTAGGGGAGGAGTAGACAGGTGATGGTGTAGAGAAGATGACGGTAGGGAGGAGAAGAGAGCAGGTGATGGTGGGGTAGAGAAGATGACGGTAGGGAGGAGTAGAGCAGGTGATGGTGTGGGGGTAGAGAAGATGACGGTAGGAGGAGAGCAGGTGATGGTGTGGGGGTAGAGAAGATGACAGGAGGAGAGCAGGTGATGTGTGGGGGTAGAGAAGATGACGGTAGGGAGGAGAGAGCAGGTGATGGGTGTGGGGTAGAGAAGATGACGGCAGGGGAGGAGTAGAGCAGGTGATGGTGTGTGGGGGTAGGAAGATGATTGTAGGGAGGGGGTAGAGCAGGTGATGTGTGGGGGTAGAGAAGATGACGGTAGGGAGGGGGTAGAGCAGGTGATGGTGGGGTAGAAGATGACGGTAGGGAGGAGGAGCAGGTGATGGTGTGGGGGTAGAGAAGATGACGGTAGGGGAGGGTAGAGCAGGTGATGGTGTGGGGGGAGAGAAGATGACGGTAGGGAGGAACAGTGGTGTGGGGGAGAGAAGATGACGGTAGGGAGGAGTAGAGCAGGTGATGGTGTGGGGTAGAGAAGATGACGGTAGGGAGGGGGGCAGAGCAGGTGATGGTGTGGGGGTAGAGAAGATGACGTAGGGAGGGGGTGAGCAGGTGATGGTGTGGGGTAGAGAAGATGACGTAGGGGAGGGGTAGAGCAGGTGATGGTGGTAGGAGAAGATGACGGTAGGGAGGAGAGAACAGTGATGGTGTGGGGATAGAGAAGATGACGGGGAGGAGAGGAGCAGGTGATGGTGTGGGGTAGAGATGAGTAGGGAGGGGGGTAGAGCAGGATGGTGTGGGGGTAGAGAAGATGACGGTAGGGGAGGAGTAGAGCAGGTGATGGTGTGGGGGTAGAGAAGACAGTGAGAGGGTAGAGCAGGTGATGGTGTGGGGGTAGAGAAGATGAGGGTAGGAGGGTAGACAGGTGATGGTGGGGGAGAGAAGATGACGGTAGGGAGGGGGTAGAACAGGTGATGGTGTGGGGGGGAGAAGATGACAGGGGAGGGGAGAGCAGGGTATGGTGTGGGGGTAGAGAAGATGATCGGTAGGGAGGGGAGAGAGCAGGTGATGGTGTGGGAGTAGAGAAGATGACGGTAGGGGAGGAGTAGGAGCAGGTGATGGTGTGTGGGGTAGAGAAGATGATGGGGAGGGAGTAGAGCAGGTGAGTGTGTGGGTAGAGAAGATGACGGTGGGGGAGGGGGTAGAGCAGGTGATGGTGTGGGGTAGAGAAGATGACGCAGGGAGGGGGTAGAGCAGGTGATGGTGTGGGGTGAGAAGATGACGGTAGGGAGGAGAGAGCAGGTGATGGTGTGGGGGTAGAGAAGATGACGGTAGGGAGGGGGTAGAGCAGGTGATGGTGGGGGGTAGAGAAGATGACGGTAGGGAGGGAGAGAGCAGGAAGAAGGTGTGGGTAGAGAAGATGACGGTAGGGAGGGGTAGAGCAGGTGATGGTGTGGGGGTAGAGAAGATGACTGTAGGGGAGGGGGTAGAACAGGTGATGGTGTGTGGGGGTAGAGAAGATGACGGTAGGGGGTAGAGCAGGTGATGGTGTGGGGTAGAGAAGATGACGGTAGGGAGGGTAGAGCAGGTGATGGTGTGGGGGTAGAGAAGATGACGGTAGGGAGGAGTAGAGGCAGGTGGGTGTGGGGTAGAGAAGATGATGGGAGGGGTAGAGCAGGTGATGGTGGGGGTAGAGAAGATGATGGTAGGGAGGGGGTAGACAGGTGATGGTGTGGGGGTAGAGAAGATGACGGTAGGGGAGGAGTAGGAGCAGGCAGGATGGTGGGGGCAGAGAAGATGACTGTAGGGGGGGGAGAAGAAGGTGATGGTGTGGGGTAGAGAAGATGAGGTAGGGAGGGGTAGACATAGATGGTGGGGTAGAGAAGATGATGGGGAGGGGTAGAGCAGGTGATGGTGTGGGGTAGAGAAGATGATCGGTAGGGAGGGGTAGACAGGTGATGGTGTAGGGGCAGAAGATGAGGGTAGGGAGGGAGAGAGAGGTGATGGTGTGGGGGTAGAGAAGATGACGGTAGGGGGGAAGGTAGAGCAGGTGATGGGTGAGGGGTAGAAGATGACTGCAGGGGAGGGGGTAGAGCAGGTGATGGGTGGGGTAGAGAAGATGATAGGAGGGGTAGGGCAGGTGATGGTGTGGGGGTAGAGAAGATGACGGTAAGGAGGAGAAGATGGTGTAGGGGTAGAGAAGATAGGAGAAGAGTAGGATGGTGTGGGGGGAGAAGATGATGTGGGGAGGAGCAGAACAGGTGTGGGGTAGAGAAGATGAGGAGGTGAGAGCAGGTGATGGTGTGGGGTAGAGAAGATGACGAGGAGGGGTAGACAGGAGGGAGAGGGAAGAAGGTAGGGAGGGGTAGAGCAGGTGATGGTGTGGGAAATCAGTAGGGGGAGAGAGAGACAGAGAAGAACGGGGAGGAGGAGGTGGTGTGGTGGGGG